GAACTGGGTGGGTTTCCTTGTTAGCCTGAGGGGCTGGCTTGCAAGGAATGGAATGTGTAGTGAATTGCACTTCACCTGCCTACAGTAATAAAGGGGAATGGATGGGATGTGCTGACGTTTGTGTCTGGGGCTTTGCCTCACCTTTCTGACCCAGATGTGCCACACCTGCTCCTGCCCATGAACAGATGCCTCCCTGGCTCACTGCTTGGCCTCAGATGAACATTCCTGGCTGTACATTCTGTGATGCCCCAGCCATTCACAGCCAGTCATGCATGGGCCCTCTCCTGCTCCTACTTCACTGGTTCTGGGCTGGAAGTATCCCCAGAGCTGCTTTTGCTTCTGTCTTCTCCTCTGTGAAGCTTTAGCACATGGTTTCCATCTTTAATCTGATCCCACCTATTTCTCATCTTTTATGATGGTTTTTGGTTCACTAGGTGTTCCCTATATTGTTTTCTAGTGAGGATATGAATTTCTTCAGATATTTTATGAGCAGTTTATAGAGAACTGAAAAAGAAATGACTACATGTGCTCAGTCTGCTATCTAGAACCAGAAGTTGAAAAGCTCTTTGTATGGACTATTGTAACACTCACCACATTGTACTATAATTGTTTATTCCCCGGTGTGAGTCCCAAAGATACAGACAAGGCTGTGCTCATATTAGGATGGCTTCCAGTACCTGGTGCTTGATGAAAGAACAAAGAAATTATTGAGTCAGAGAGGTTATAATGAGGATTCTAATTCTTGTCCCATCATTTGTAAAATCATTCCTCCTCCCTTGGCCACAGTTTTCCTATATATACAATTGGAGGAAAGGTTAGAGATCAATCCTTTCATTTCAGTCTGAAGGAGTTCCTTTAGTATTTTTTGTAGGCCAGGTCAGCAAGCAATGAACGCTCTGTTTTTATTTACCTGAGAATGTCTTAATTTCTTCTTCACTTTTGAAGGATAGTTTTGCTGGATATAGAATTCTTGACAGTCTTTTCCCTCTCAGCATTTTCAATATATCATCCCACTCTGGCTGCTTCGATTTCTGATGAGAAGTCAGCTGTTATTGAGAACCCCTTGCATGTGGTGTGGAGTTTTCTTTGTTGTTGTTTTTGTTTTGTTTTGTGTTTGCCACTGAGATTCTCTTTGTCTTTGGTTTTTGACAATTTAACTATGATATGTCTTAGTGTACATTTCTTTGAATTTATCCTACTTGGAGTTGGAGTTTGTTGATCTTCTTGAATGTGTAAATTCATATTTTTCATTAAATTGAGAAACTTTTTAAACTTTACTTCTACAAATATTTTTTTCTTCCTTTTTCTCTCTCTCTCCTTCTTCTGGTGTTCCCATTATGTGTATATCAGAGCACCTAATGATGTCCCACAGGTCTCTAAGGCCTTGTTCATTCCACCCCCCTCCCTTCTTTGGACTGGATAATCTCTACAAATTTATCTTAAAGTTCATTCATCCTTTCTTTTGCAGCTCAAATCTGTGTTAAGCCCCTTTAATAAATTTTTCATTTCAGGCATCATGCTTTTCAACTCTATTATTTCTATTTGGTTGTTTTATAATTTCTCTCTTGATAATCTCTATTTGGTGAGCCACCAATGGCATACTTTCTTTTAACTCGTTAGACATGATTTCCTTCAGTACTTTGAAGATATTTATAACAGCTGATGTGAAGTCTTTGTCTAGTAAGTCCAACATTCAGCATCCCTCAGGGACAGTTTCTAGTACTGATTTTTTTTCCTTTACATAGGCCATACTTTCCTTTTGCTTTCCAGGAGATACACACACACACACACACACACACACACACACATGCAGAGGGTGCCAAAAAAATGTATACACATTTTAAGAAAGGAAAAAAACTGTATTAAAATCATAATACTCAGTACATACCAATAACAAAAGATAAATACAAGTCACATTTGGCTTCTGCAATTACAAGACGTGCTCAAAGTGGTTACCATCAGTGTCCAGACACTTCTGATTATGGCGAACTACTATTTGAGCAACGTTGACCAAAGTGTCCACTTGTATTGCTGCACATGCTGTTTCAATTTCTTCACACATTACCATGCGTCTCAAACTTATCACTAATGCGTGCAATTGTTAGGCGTGTTGGAGGTTCTGTTGCATACTAAAGCCTCCATTGTTGTTGTACTTCCACAACATTCTTGAATGTCAAATGCCACTTCAAAATGGTCTTGTGCTCCTCAAATGACACCTGTGCTTCCGCCATTTTCTTTGACTGTCCTGCCTATTGCATGGTGATGCTAGCATTCATTTGATTAACTCCATCTTTTGAGTGAACATCATACTATACATTGCTACAGTAATTCAATTCAACTTCAAACTTCAAAAAGTAATACATAGATAACATCTCTTAAAATGTGTATACAGGGCCGGCCGAGTGGCGCAATGGTTAAGAACTGGTTTGGGACGCCAGAGGGCCCCGGTTCGGATCCCACATATGAGGGCCAGTGACACTGCCCTCCACAGCTAAGATGCTGAACAACA